TTAACAAAATTTCAGTCAGAAATTGCCAGTAATTGTGGGTGAAAGATGCTTCGTTAAATAAACTGCGATTGTCAAATGATAAATGTTAACAACACTCCAAGACTGGAACTGGATATTTAATTAACAAGAAACACTAAGGATGCAAGAAAATCTTGACGAATTGCAGAGGTCATCTCGTCGCGGATAGCTCAAGTTAGACGAAGCATCGGTAGATACATTTTTTTGTTGTAAACAACCGAGTGTGGTGCAATAGCGAAGCAAAGAAGAGAAACATTTCACACTAAAAATTTATAAGACATGGTCACTTTTAAGAATATATGTCGGATAAAATGTGACGTCAATGTAATTTTTATTATCGACACGTTATCATGTCGAAGACCACTAATCTTGTTTGTCATTAGGCGAGACAAAAGGTAAAGTGCACAGCTGATCAGCAAATTCCGATGTTCATTTTACGTTTTAATTTCGACCGTCTGAAAAGAAAACTATTAAAAAACGAAAAGGAAAAAGAATTTGTTTTTCAAGATAATAGACTGTCCTACGTTGAATTACAATATTCAAATATTGTATACTATGGATTCACGAAAGTTGATTGCTGGCCAATTTAAAGAATAACTATGCCCGTTTCTCTCTCGCTGTTTTGTCAGACAAAAATTTCAACAATCCAAGAAATCTGAATTTCAAATAACATTTCACGCGCAATTCTTCGGTAACGAATTCGTGTTTTGAATTACTTTTATTCGTTTCGTTTATTACGATGTTTTAATGGAAATTGTCGTAACATGTTTATGACAATGGAACAAACACTGCATATCGAACAATGAACAGACAATGACTGTTATAAAATATTCGGTGTGTGTTTTACAAATTTATTCTTCCTCCGATTTGTAATTATGCCATTTTCGTTTATTATGGCGTTCCAATGGAAACTGATAATGGAAACGTTTGTGTTGATGAAACGTAAAATTCTAAACAAATATCAACTAAATAATTACACTCAGGATTATTTGAAAGTAATCAATTCGAATTTTAAATATCATTTTTAACAGTTTATAGATCGGTAATTAATTAATCAGTTTTTTTACTGAGACAACCAATACTAGACGCCGGAATATTTCGAGATTGGACGGGAATGGCTTATAAATAAATATTAGGCGGCCCGAGCACTTGTGAGAAACGCGCAAACGCTCGGTGTCCCTCTAGCAGTGAGAACAGGAAGTGCCATCACAGATGCACCTCCCGTCGTTATATGGATTATGAAATATTATACGTATAAATATTAACAAAAAAACGACTCTACTAAATAAAATACTACTAAATTGGATACTACTAAAGTTGTCAAGATAAAAATTATCTTATTAGTATAAAAGTGTTAAATTCAATTTCAGTATACGACGAGTTGAGAAAATGAAAATGAATCTCGTCGATCGTAGGACATTTAGAGGTCACGAACGTGATAAATCCTGACTGTCTACATAATAGTCAATCCAGAGAAGTTTAAATAACGATCCGATAGGATTGTGCCAAGTCCGACCGCTATTTTCTCACGAACTACGTGGAAAATTCATCGTCGAAGACAATCGGAAGTTTCGTGGAGGGAAACTTACTCGTTAAGCGCCTCCTTCGTTAAATCGAAACTCCAAACATATATTCACGGAAAATGATTCTCATTGTTTCCATTGTACGCTATTCCAAACGAAACACTGCATGTACATACGTACGTACAGCGTGTCGGATCAATCGCTATTTAGAATAGAGAGTTCATTCCTCAGGGCGAAAAAAGGCGTGCAAAATAAACGCAATATATTTTCTTTTGTTAATGAATTAATTTCGTGGGAAAAAGTAGATTAATTATAATCACTGGATTAATTTACCCTCTAAATTTGAGTTTGAAATCAAAATTAACCTTTTCACGCCCTTGGCCACATGTGGACGCCTAGTTTTTTATAATTATAATAACTGGCATAAAAAAAATTTGGTAATAACTTATTCGCTACAGAATCAGAAATTTTACCATTTGGTTGCACTGATAATGTTATTTCCGATAAAATCGTCCCTGAAGAGGTTAATTTTGATAATTACTAATTTACAGGATAAAGAGGTGACCTTTTTTTTTTAAATAAAATTTTAGAACCTATTTTAAGTCGACTACGGGGACATAGCATGTAATTTTTACAGACAGTTTACTTTGGAATATGTTCGTAACGCGAATACAGAGCTTTCCTGGGGCACTGACGAAGCATTGCTCATATTTCCTGATGCGAAAGTTAGTTGGACATAAATCAGCAGCGAACCCATTGGATCTTCTCTTTTGTAACGACTGCTCCGTATAGAATGTTAGTGTTGAAATGAGGCAATCCGAATTTCGATAATGACGTCAATTGTAATTAGTGGCCAGTAAATGGAGGCAGCACTTTAATAACATACATATTTATTTATTTATACATATATATATATACGCAAAAAGAAAGTTTTAGATTGATAGAAAGATTAGTTTTCATATTGTTATTTCATTTACTGTACAAACCATTATACTATAAACATATATATAAAAACAAGTAAAATAACCCAACGGAAAGAACAAATTTTATTGAACCACGCTTTGGCAATAACAATTACATATCAAGTTATGATCTATTCGATAACGTTACAATAATTGCTTCGATTTGCTGTAAGGGGTCTTTGTAATTAAATGAGTAACATCTTTAAGTACACCCCCTGTTTCATCTCCTTTAAAAATTCATGAATGCACCTGTTGCGAGGAGTGACGACATACCCAAGATTCTTATTCTTATCGATTTTTTCATGACGTTGTAACCAACAAATCTGCATTTGATTCACAGCTATCAAAAAAAAAGGTTAATTTTTATATTATTTAATTTAAACTTTCAACATTGGCATTGATTCGATAATAAAATTTCATTTTTGTTATTTTAAGGTCGCCTTTTTTTTCTTCAAAGAATTAAAATATCACTTCAACTAAAACTTGTAATACTTTTATCTGTTTAGAAGCTGCGTTTAATATTCATATTAACAATATTTAAGCAAACCGAACTAGATAAATGTTTCGCTACCAACAGGAATATTGTATGTCCTCCATTATCGCCTTGTCAATTATGATCGATAATGAAGCATCATTAGCGGAAACGAATTTCCACTTGTGACAGCAGATGTCGATCTCTAATTGTATACTTTTGTATTGTATTACCAAGGCACTAATACTGAAATATATTTAACATTATAAAAAGAAGTCAGCTTGTTTTACAATACGACATTTATAAATATTATATTTATTATTACTTTATTCGGTAACATTTGAAATGATATATTCACACATACATTCGATTCTGAAATTGTAATTTAAAAAAGTAGGATTAACTGAACTGTAACACTGTCATAATGAGCGAAGAAATACAAACTAATTTTTGAATCAGAAATTCAGAACATCAAAAATCCAGGATATCGCGTAGCAATAATCTGTACAGATACAGAAATTTCAGGAATATGCGACGTAATAACAGCCATACGAAATAGTAGCCACAAACATAACCATGTGCACATACACTATCCATGTCTATACGAATTGCGTCATTATTATGGAGGCACGCGGTGTATTCTCACGGTTTATTGGACAGTTCATCGGTTTATCAGTTCCGCTCGCATGATGAAGAAGTAATTTCTCATAATTCAATTCGTCCACTGGTTCGTACCGAAAACAGTATTAACTATTTACTCAGCTCTAAATTTCATGTGTTTTAATCAGACAATTTTCAAGAGAAACAATCAATTTATTTAATTAATAACGCATTTCTTTTTTTATCATTTATTACAAAAAGAACAAATATTAAGATCACTTCTGCTATTGTGTCAGTTTAGTCTTTACAAAATAACAAGTTGAAAAGTATATTTAAGTATATTTAAAAAAATTATATAACTCGAGCAAAAAGTATCAAGCTATTATATACATGTAAATTATTTTTAAATAATAATTCAATGCTATTCTGTAAACGTCGCTGAAAGTTTTCCTTGTTGAAGGGAAATACAAGAAGATGAAGTTTGAGAAACATTGATTCACTGCATTACGCTGTCTTATATGCATATTTTGATTACCATCGTGAAATTGAAGCTCTAGTTTTGATGCATATTGATCGGACTTTATTTTTGTTTGAAGATTTAGTTCTCGTTAAATAACATTGTTGCGAAACTGGTGGTAATCACTTGGGAGAACGTCTGGAGAGTAAGAAGAAAGATGAGGCATAACTTGTCAGTCAAACTCTTTAACTTTTTGGAGAGTTGTTTATGTATTTTGAGTTCGTGCATTATAGAATTAAACTGATAGAATTAAACTCTTTTTTACTTCATCGATGCTCTATACATTACTTTCCAATATCTTTGTCAGTTTTTCTTTCAGAAATAAACTTTAAGAGATAAATTAATCTTTGTCGCGTACGAGTAAATAAAAAAAATGTATAAAAAACACATTAATTTGAATTCCCATCGCTAGTAGCGCTGCAATCTTATTCCCTTCTAAATCGGTAACGCAGACACATAAATGATAAGGATAACATTATGACATTATTTGTATTACAATGTATTATAAACATTGTTTATTAGTGAGTCATTTTGAAAAGATTTAGTTTGATTATATAGTCAACTACAAGCTTTATAGAAGTTTCCTTTAAGAATTCTTTTATATTCATTGAATAAAGAATTAAATCTAACGAAAGCGATAATAATATAATTAATTTTCTATTAAATAAGTATAAATAAACGTGAGGAACACTTTTTGTTCATAAATTTTTACCTCAAAAATTCCACGTTCTACGTTCATTCCATCAATGACGAATTTAAACTGATTAAATTACTTTGAGTGACTTCATCTTTTTCTAAAATCTTTCACAAAATGTTTTTATTGTAAAAATATATGTATCCTACCATTTCCTATACAAAACATTCAAAAATTTGAATATTTCAATTTAGAACATCTACGGTTGGCAACATTGTCCACCTGTGGCTGACAATAGCAATGACATCGGTAGTACACAACAACAAAATGGTGAAGAACGAATCTCGATTATTGTAAATTTAAATATTACAGTGTTTTTTATATTTATCGCGTTCAATTTGAATAAAACCAGTTGTTTCTAATGCAGTGAAACATAACCTGTCCAAACTAACGTGAGTTTGTTTATGCAAAGTTAAGTGTTCAGTGATCGATGCGTTTGGAGTAGCTGTTTTTTTATAATGTTTACACTATTCGGTGAAGTAAACTTATGGAGTTTCGATGACAACATTAATATAAAGAGTACAGACTTTGGTGCATTTCGGTGAGATTAAATAATTTGCGTATATTATAAATTATATTAACCATTATATTAACCATTATACCTTCTATATCGAAATGATAAAGAAATAAAGCTACAACTATTACCATCAACCATTCTATGTATAATAAAGTTAAATAATATTCGATATTTCATTCTAAAATTTGTTATGACTTTAATAACATATATCTCCATTTCACTAATTCATTATTTTAATAAAATTGCTACCGACATTCGATTGGAAAACTATCCACTATACATTTTTTTAATTTAATATAATGCATGTTTTTAATCCTTTGGTTGCTATGGGTGGAAACTTTCTAAAAATACAAGGAAATATTATAATGTTATCACAGGTATCATGATAAACGTATTGATAATGTACATGAGGAAGGGAAAAGATCATATTGTCAGAAGCGTGGTATGATATATGTACCAACCAATAAGAAAGGACATAAATTAAAAGATTCTATCAAATATTTGGAGGTAAAATTTCAATAAAGCACAGATCAGAATTAAAATATGATTCTGTATTCTAACTTGAATTAATTTTAATAGGATCAATTGAAGGACAATTCAATTATATATTGCCAGTGGTATGATGATTGTGTCTTCCAATTGATGCTAAATAATGCCTTGTTGATACAAATACAGGTCAACATTGCTACTGGTGACATATATAAAATAACTTTTGATAAGTATCTTGTAGGAAAACTTTCTGAGCATATATCAGATGGTAAATAATAGCTTGCATTTACATAATCCATATTTGTATGCCGAGCAATGTTTAAATACTTTATCATTAATATTTGTAGTGGTAATTACTAAAAATTATATACTTTGCATCTATAATGATAATCAAGTAAGCCTTGTACATTTCACAAGATCAAAAAGACACGTTTTTGATAAAATTAATAAACTTGAACCAAAGTTATCCACAATTGATCTATTTGGTCCTAATGGTCGCAGGTTGGATAAAAAAGTACAAACTAATAAATGTGATGATTTGGTAAATATATTCACACATTTCTTAAAACAATATTACTTTTTACTAACCCTATCGCTTACCACATAATGGATTAAATTAAAATTTCTCAGTTTCCTTAAATTACATAGTTTATTGAGAATATCTCTGAAAATTTATAATATAATTCCAAACATTGTAGATATTAATTTGGTGGAAATCTACAATGAATGAAGTTTATCCGTGGAGTCCTGCTGTTAAAGAGCATGATCGTGCAAATATACATCTTTATCGTCTAATAGGGTATAAAAATCTTTCTAAGCACTAAGATTTCGTTAAATTTGATGTTGTAGCTTTTACATTTGACAAGAGTATTACATTCCTGCTTGTATGGTAAAAGTATTTCAGCATTATGTATTTCTCTTTTCAGAGTAAAATTAGAATTAATTTGTTATATACGTAGCGAGTTTGATCCCTTGTGCATAATATTTGATGCATATCATGATAATATTATTCACTCTGTAGAACAAAAAGTATCAAGAAAGGTAATAGTTATGCATGATTTAGTATTACAATCATTCATTTGTAGCATTAGTTCTACAAATGGACATTTTACATCATAAATATAACATAGGGGGAGGTGACTATAGAATGGAGAACATACGAAGTTTCCCAACAAGATAAACTGCAAAGAATAGCAGTGATATCCGTGCCTTTACCTACACACACAAGTTGTGTAAAATTCTCACCCAATCAGGAATTGTTATTATTATGTTGCATAGATGGATCTGTAATAATTTATGATCAAATCAGAGCCACCACTACTAGTGTAAAAGCAGGTTTTGTAAGTGATCTATGTATGCAGAGAATTAAAAAAAAAAAGTAATTACTTCTGGAAACATATAAAGAAATATATACATTTTCAAGATACCTACATTAGCATCATGGCACAGTGATGGAATAATATTTATCATTGGAAATGACAAAGGTCAATTCCAACATTTTGATATTTCTCTGTCATGTATTAAAAGTCAGACCTTAAGTGAAGAAGTAACACCTGCTAATATTCTTGATTTGTCCTCATACTTCAGGTATTGCTTTATCAATATGATAATAATAAAGTTAGGAATGTATGTATAAAATATGAAATTTATTTATAATGCAGAACTCAACCAGCATTATTGCGTATGGAATGGAATAAAAAGAATGATCTGAATTGCTACATTGATCTGCACAATCATGGGAATTCTCTATTATTACTTATTTTTCAACGGTATGCTATATTAATATTATTCATAAAATGAACGAAATATTAAAAAATGAGTAATATCAATGTAATATATTAATAGAGGCCCTATAGGTGTCATAAAAATGTTAGAAGGAGATTCTCTCTCTGGAGATGTGTTAGTCAAAAGATATTTATCCTTGTATCAAGTTGAACAAGCAACTTCATTATTGTTATCTATGAATTGGGATACTCATCCTCGCGCGTGCATGCATGCGCTAAATCAAATTTTGAATTACTTGTTTAAATTGCCATTGACACCAGAACGTGAAAGTAAGATTCAGTTTTGTATTTTAATTGATATACTGTCGATAATACAAGTAGTTCAATCTTTTAGATTTTATACAGAATGCACTAGGTAGTTTCCATGTTCCCATTAAACCAATAAGTCAAACTATCGAAGAAGAATATGGAGATGAAGTAAGAGACTTAACAAGACGATTTTTCCATCATTTATTAAGGTATTATGTACTTCAGCATTTAAGAAGTATTCGTCCTATACAAAATATTAATTTTAATTACTGTAGGTATCAAATGTTTGAGAAAGCTTTTAGACTTGCTATAGATCTAAATGATCACGATCTTTTTATGGATATACACTTTTACGCATTAGTTGTAAATGATATGGCAATGGCAACTGCAGCAAAAGAAAATGCTGAACGTATACTGAGTAGATCAAACAGTTGTAATAGTTCACGTAAGAATTAATGGAATATGTTGTTTCAAGAACAGTTTGTTTCCTCAAGAGTACTATAATACAACATTTTCAGATTCTACGTGTTCTAGAGCGTCGTGTTCATTGTGCTCCGATTCTACGAGCGATAAAGGAGAGGAATCTTTCACTGATGAGAGTGAAAATTCTTCTAAAGGAGATCAGACTGATACAAAACATTCTAAAAATCATAGTTATAGAAAAAAATCCAATAGCCAGATCCCACCATTGCCAATCCTTGATCCTCATCACCTTAATAAAAGTCTATTACCTACATCATTTACGGATATTTCGTCTAATGAAAAAACTGATTGCAATCTAGTATCAACATCTTTCAATATGCCCAGCAGTACACTTAGCACAACTTCTTTTAATCATTCGTCGCATCTTTCGCTGTTAAATACGTTTTTTGCGTCAACGTCATTTAATAAACCGCTATATAAAACTCATACAAATTCAACGCCAACGTCAACAGTAACTTCTACTCATACTTCACAGTCTTTTAATAACATTTCCGATGATTTAATGACCACTTCATTCGGAAGTCTGTCCATGAATGAACGAAAATCTGTAGTATCGAATCGGCTTACAGAAAACTCTGTAAATATCACATTGAACAAAGCTGTACTAGGAGAAATGGAATATTCTCTTGATAGCACATCTGATAACACAGTAACAACTAATTTAACACAAGAAAATAACTTCTCGTCTACTCCTTTCAACAATCCAACATACGAAACGTTAGATGTGCCTTCTGATCTGCTACACACTTCATTAGATAAAGTGGATAGCAATATCATGTCAACATCCTTCAGTACACTTGGTACAAGTATTCCAAGTCCATATGAGAATTCTTTTAGTAATTTAATAACTAGCAAAGCTGATTCTACCACAACTTTAGCTTCTCTTAGAAATATGAAGTCACCTGTTACAATGAATGATTTCACATCTAAAACACTTCCTGAACCTACTGCAGCGAACAAATTAACATCCAGTCTTCATAGCAGTCATAATAACCTTATGTCAACATCATTTAATTTCCTTGACAACCAAGTACAAGATTCTCGTAATAGTATTTCAAAGAGTATCAATGATGATGATAGTCATAGTGTTATCAAGTTACAACAATCTGCTATGGGGAAAAAAATGGGGGATGTCAGCATCCCACCACCACCACCTTCTTTAACAAATTCATTTACAAATTATTTTCAAAATCTTCCAAGGAAGAATCTTCCTTTATCCAGAAGTACATCTGGATTAGCAGATATTGACGAATCAATTCAAAAATTTTCGTCTATTAGAACAAGAAATGTCACGTCACACCTACTGCAAAGACAAAATTCCACATCTAACATTCTACAAGTTCATCATAAATATAGTAATATTAAACCTTCTAGATATAGACTTAATTATGATCTCGATTACATTTCATTCCATGGAAGTTGTGATAATATTAATATACATTCCTCTACTAACAGTATGAAAGTTGGTGCATCACAGTTCCCTTCTACTTACAGTATACAGAATAGATTTGAGAATAGGCATTCGAAACTAGTATCATCACAAAATAGTACAAATATTAGTGTTAGTAAAGAAAGTAAGGTGTCATCAAATATACCACCCCTACCTGTTATATCTACATCTACTTCTAGCTCCTGTTCCCCATTCTCCCCTTATACGGATACAACATTGATATCAAATGAGAAACCAAAGGTCAAATTTTCAGATACAGTAACGCACATATTTGTACCTGATACAGTAAGTGTACAAAGTATTGAAGTATAAGAAATATTGAAATTTATGTGAAGCAATAAGTATGATTGTGTTTGTTAGTTGATATTTTCATTTCTTAAGAGTTTATTTACAGGGCCAATCGCTACATAAACAAAAACGTTCTACGATTACTCAAGTACACTTGACCGATCCGAAACGCGAATTAGCAGAAAGCCTTCCATTGTGCCTTGGCAATGAAGATTACCTTAAGGATTTTCAACCGTTATCGAGTATGCGACGAAATTCAGCAAGTAAAGTAATTTTTATATACATAATACTTAAATGTTATGTTTTACAGAAGATGATATTAATGACAAAGTAAAAGAACCCCCAAAATCAGAGGAAGGTTCTAAAATAAAAGTCGTACACTTTGGACTTCTATAAATAGATAAAGGATTCAGGTATTAAAGGAAGATGAATGTGAGACTGTATTTACATGCATTTATATTGTTTTATACGAATATCTACACACATATTTTGTACATAATTTTTATACAATAAAAATTGTTTTACAGTTGTATTACTAAATAATTCATCTGCTCCTATATAAATTAGTAATACTTAAATGTCTCTTTTCCTATATTCACTTTTTTGGCTTTGACATATTTTCTAATTCAGCCTTCATGTCAAGTAATTCTTTGTCAGGTATGTAACGTTTAGTTTCCATTTCAGGCGTATAGGTATCTACGTGTAAATGGACTCCTTCAGGTAAAGCTGCCTCTATTATTCTAATTAAAAGGGGACATTTTGAGGAATCTACATTTGATATTACAATGTTTCTTTGATACATTTTAAGTTTGTATTCGCTATCAACAACTGTGCTTTCTTTTTTATATTTTTTTATATGATATTCTCTATGAGGAAAAGGATAACTATGGAAACACAAAATAAATATTATTAAAATGTAAAAAATTGAATTTAGTGAAAAGTACGAATGCTATATTACCCATCATCAACATCAATATCCAATATGTCTGCAACTTTATAAATATAAGATTGATAAGATTCGAGCAGAGGAAATACATATCCTCTAAGCTGTATATTTAATGTAGGATAAAGAGGTGGCCCTGGTCTCTTACGCTACACCATGTAAAAGGTTTCATACATTAATATACAAACAAGCACATTGGATAGTATTTATAATATTTAATAAAATAACCTCTAAGTATGAAGGCTGGTAAATACTGTAGAACCTTAATGTCCCATTTACTAGAAAACGACGAGGACACGTTATGACCTATGTACATAATACAATTATATTATTTTTTGTAAACAATATTAATAATACATAATTTTGTCGGTACGCTCACATAACCTCATTCTTATCGATAAAAGCATTCATTTACCTGTTTAATAACATTCAATGCCATTTCAAAATGACGAAATGATAAAGGAATTGATATTCAAATTTTAAGTACAAGTGACTTCAATCAATTACTTTAAATTAATAGTAATTTGTAATAAACAGCGATTCAGATATCATCAGGTGTCATAACTATAAGCATTGCATTGCATGCTGCTTTTACACCAATGTTTCTCAAATTACATATTTCTACGGATCGTCTGAATAAAGGAATATTTTAGATGAATCCTTTAGAGTAGAATTAAACATCTAGCATTTTAATATTATTTTGAAACTTTTCTTGAGTACAATTGCAATTGTAAATACCAAATGTAATTCTGGCTAACTACAATTCCAATTACATGTTATTGGTATTAAAACGAAGGGATTTACTTTTAAGTAAAGGGAGATTTATTAACAAAAATAGAAAACCATAATCCAGAGAATATTTAAAAATATTACAATTTTAATATATCACAGATTAGTTTGTGGTAATATTACACCGTACGATGGGCTCGGCTGGCATCGCTGATCAGAACCAATGAAAGGTTGCAGTTATTTTACCAGGTACCATAATCTCACTGGATAAAATGTACGTTTCTTATCATTCAGGAATGGGAAAGTAATCTATGTGACACTTGCTTCTATGATACTGTGGATTGTGTGCACGATTGTGCGAATAAAATTTTTGCTATGACAATACTTTAGAGTCAGAAAGAAAATATATTTAAATGTGTTGTTTAAATAAAAAATGGATATCGAAACTGAGAATGTTATAAACCTTATATTCCCGGAGGGTATACGAGGTGACTTACATTTCTCTTACAGTCTATTATTAAAAATTCGTTTAATACATATCATTTTGTACAGTTTATTTGAAATTATTACAATTTTGTCAATTTAAAAATGGACTTCAAATGTACATATACAATATATTCTTTATTATGTAGAATCATGGAAAGAAAACCCAGAGTTTTATCAATACTTGTCAAAGCTTGGTGGTTATGATGTTGATCAACTCAGTAAGCAAATTTTTGGATTTTTAGAGAAGCTTATATCATTCAACGAATTGTTTTTTTATTTAAAATTGTTTACATTTATTAGGTAAAGAACCTGATCATCTGAATGATGAGAAAACATCTGTATTGCAAACTACTCAAGAACTAGTTTTTGCAAATTATAAAACATTCGTTCAAACTGCAGAAAGTTCTAGGGAGATATTTAAACAAGTAATGATAATATTGGTTTTGGTAATTTCAGTGGTATCAGAATTATGTTTACTAATTATTTTTTGTACAATTTCAAGTTTAATCAAACCGAAAATCGGCTTGATGGGCTTGTACAAAAGATTCCCCAGTTTGTAGAGAAGTGCCAATTGTTCTGTGATGCTTCGAAAGATATAAATGCGCATAGGAGAGTAAATAGTTTAACATTAACAAGAAATGCAGAATTGTTAGAAGTACTTGAAATGCCTCAGTTAATGGAGTCTTGCTTAAGGAGTAATCAGTATAATGAGGCATTAGAATTATCCCAATATGCACATCAATTAGGAACTAAACATGGAGATATTCCAATTATATCGGTATGATATCAATATTTGACATAAAAACAGGATACAACAGAAAATGTTTCAGTTTGTTTATTAACCATATAGTCCATAGTGGCAGAAATTGAAAATAGTTGGTCAGGTATGGTAGGGCAAGTTGTTGGGTCATTGAGAGGAGATCTTCCACTTCCAAGATGTTTACAGCTTGTTGGATTATTACGATCAATGGATGCATTTACTGAACCAGAATTGCGTATTAAGTTTCTTCAAGCACGTGATAGTTGGCTTCAAAGTCTTTTAAGTGCTATATCCAAAGATGATCGTAAGTTTTTTGTTACTAGTGATTGTAAAATATGCAATTTAATAAAATTATATGTTTGTTTTTATTAGCTAATCTTCATATTACGAAAACAATTGAATTATCAAGGATACATTTGTTTAACATAATAACACAGTATAGAGCCATGTTTAATGATGATGAGCTCATAATACCAGGAAGGGATCCAACTGTAAATGAGTGTGCGATTTTTTATCATTGGCTTGAGGAAAAGGTTTGTCGATTATTTATAGTTTATGCTCCATTATATTACTACCATAATTTTCCTTCTTTGTTTCAGATATCTCAATTTTTAACGACTCTAGAACAAGATTTACCTGGTGTAACATCTATAGATTCTATTTTAGATCAATGCACGTATTTTGGTCTTTCATTTGGTAGAGTAGGTGCTGATTTTACGGGACGAATGTCCGATATATTTGTACGCGTAATTGGTGAAAAATTCGAGTCTAGTATTCGCAAAACAACAAAGAAGTTTGAAAAAGACATGGAATCATTTACATTGATTAATAAAACCTACAGAACTAATATAAAAATAAACACTACAATTAAGTCTGTAAGTAATTGATTATATTATTACACGTTGATTTATATCATACAAGATTATTTTTTGTAGGAGTATCCACCAGAACAATTAGTGGAATTTTATCCTTTAGCTGAATACTGTAATGGTCTAATATCTGCTTTTAATGAAATACGACTTTGTCCACCAGTAGCACTTTCTGTTTTCTGTACACTCATTTTACAAGAGTCTCTACACAGTGTAGCAAAATCTATATTGATTTTTTATAAACAGGAGCAACAAGTAAGCGAATATTTTTGTTTATGACAACATACTATTATATATTTGATTTGATGCATGTATTTTGTAGGCTTTCGCAACTGCAGAAAGAGAAAACATGCTTAAATTCACGGAATGTTTAAGTGAACAATTGATTCCTTATGTACAGTACTGTATTCACGTTATTTTTCCACCAAGTCAAATTGCGGTTCATTTAGGCATTTCAGAAAATTTACTACAAACAGAGGTATGCAAATATAGTTGATAAATTATTATATTAATTTTCAGGAACTTTTATACTGCAAAATTTAAGTTAAATATACATTGTTTACAGGGAATAACATATTTAAATAGAGATAATATCTTAGAACCGTTGACCCTTCTATTACCGATTCCAAAAAATGGAAAAGATGCTATCACTTCCCCATTACCTACCTCTAATATACAATCACAAATATTGCAAAAAACTTCTAATGAAACTCCTTCAACATCAGAAAATACAGACGTAGACGTAACTGACGAACAATTGGAAAAAATGAAAATGTCTGAAATACACGAACCCGCAAAGCAAATGATTATGTCTACTGATTCGCAAAAAGCGACTGTGGTATCGAATCAAGATATTAAAGTTATTGCAAATAACTCAAACGATGGTGTAAATGAAAATAGATAACTGTAAATTTCAATCGATTTCATTATGTGTCATTATATAAAAAAATATTGTAAATAAAAACAATAGTTTTTTAAATGAATATTTGTTCCTTTCCTGACATATATATTTATTAAAACTCAAATTAATGTGAAAAATTTAACGTCTACATTCTTTAGTAATGTATTAGTTCTTTAACATTATGTTTATTACAAAATAAAAACTGTCATTATTCTTACGGTTAATTATTAATGAAAATAAGAAGTATAGTATGAGAAATATTAAATCATACAATGTTCAACTATATTAAATATTATTGCTTTTTTCAACGTTTACATAAAGTAGTTAAACAAATTTCACGTGTTTAGTACCAATTCGTAAGGAAAGTTTAGGTTAGGAACACTAAATATAACACAACACATAAACTGTACATAGAATTTTGAATACTTTTCACATCTTGTTTGGGTCACTCAAAATATCATGATTCCATAAGAACTAGCTCTTCACCTATCTCAGATTTTATTATTATTATATTATCGGATTCAATTTCACAATGTGATTTCTTAACAAAATCATTGCTAGCTTCGATATCAATATCGTATACTTCAATATTTGTATTTCCATTGTTTGTGTCATTTGTTCCAGCAATATTATTTATCGTCAGTCTTTTATATTCTTTACTTATTTTATTTTTATTACGATTAAATACATTTGTTTGTGCTAATTTCCTATTTAATTTTTTGACAGGATAATTTGGATTTAGTAGGTCTTGTTTAATTTTTCTAACTTCTCTGAGCAATTTTTCATATTCATCTTTTTCCTCTGGATTTTCTAAAGATACATACAATTTTTTCTTTTTAAATTGTTTCATAGATTCACAAGACTTTTCTGCAAGATTTTTATAATGATTATTTAAGTGTATCTGTAACTTTTGCATTTCTTCTTTCTCTTCTTTGTGTCTTCCTTTTAATGCTTTCAAACGTATTCTCAATATGTCGCAATCCCGTTGGGCTTTTGAATATAGATATCGTATTTTTTCTGCTGATGACTGGTTACGTCTGCAAGAAACTATATTCTAATAAACATTGTATACCATCACATTCTTAATCGCGGAATATCAATTAAAATATGAGTCACATTGTTATTTATAATAATACATACGAATTATGTCTTGACAAGTCTCCTTTCCTGGTGTATGCAGCTTTAGGTGTACAAACACTTTTTGTTTCCGTTGTTGTGATTTCACATTTGATGTCAGGTTTCTCAAGCGAGACAGGTACTGAATTTGTTACAGGTGGTTTCGGAGAGGCAAAAATATTTTGTACACAATTTTTTAAATCAGCTTTTACTCTGTTATTGGTATAACACTTTTTTACTTTACTGTGATCAGTATGAATGCTAATATCCTGCTCATGTTTAATTCTATCCAAATTTATCATAGGGGGCTTCTTATATTTTTTATTTATAGTTATTTTCAAAACTGGAACCTTTGTTGTGATTTTAACATTTGAAACTTTTTTTATTGGACTTATATTTGTATCCCTAACTGTCGGTACTTCTTTGTTCGGTTTTAAATGAACTGTTTTATTAGAATTGAATTTTGATAGAGCTTCGTTAAATTGACTTTGGGTGACAGGAATTAGTTTTCTCATTCCTAAACCATTTGGAGTACACGGAGTTCTTGGTTTAGGAATTGTAGTTGGTGGTTGCATCGTTAAAGAATTATTTCCTTTGCTCGCATCGTTTACAACGTTTGAGTTATTAACCTCCTCTTGCATACTTGAATTTCCTTTCATAGAGTCAAAAGGTAAAAAACTTTCTTTTAAGTTGTTGCACTGCGGTAATTTCTTGTACGTATCTTTGTCTTTAAACTGTCCAGTGTATATAACATCATTATTACAGAGACACCAACTTTCTCCACGAACTTTTTTTCAACTCATTTACGAATAATGTCTTGTCGTACAAAGGAAAACTAAGAATGATAAAGTCTTGACGCAACACATCACTTATTCAACACGAATTGTTATTGCAAATAGATGTTGGTTACAGTATCTTCTACGTGCGATAGAGCATTTGTAACTCTCGCAATGAAAATGCGTACAACTTTTGTATTGTGTACAGTTAACTGCAGTTAACTTCTACCAATAGCATCAATCACAACGTGTTAATTAAAAATAGAGAATGTATCTGCTATCTTTGGGTATAGTTGGAACAAAAAGCTAGTTATATTAACCACAGATTCAATGAAAAACGCTTGATATTCCAATTTTCGATTGGTAAAAATATGTACCATCAATTCCATCCTACCAATGGGAATTCAAAACATGCCTAACATTTCTTGTTGCACTTACAAAATGTGGACAAGTTTTGTGGTATGTTCATCATGATTGATCCGGGTTGGTCACATGAAAACAACTGCCTATGTTCCACGTGCTTCTGTTGGTCTAAATTAGGTTATGTTCTCAGTTATTAATTATATTTAAATAATAATAACGTGTATTATCAGTCTTGTAAAACGCTATGTCTAAAATGATGAAAAGTAATTTCAGTGGGTGGAAGCCACTGACATTAGAGGGTTCTGTATTTTCTGGTGCTGTTGATGGCTTAATTGGTGTAGAAGAATTAACAGATTATAAATTGGAGAAAAAGAATAACAAGACTAACATTTTAATTTGCGACGGAGAAAAGAAAAAAAAAGAAAATAAAGTACCCACAAAACGTAAAACATTGAACAAATGGCAAGAAGATGACACAGATGAGCCAGTGTCAAAGAAAGTAAAGGTTAAGAAACTTAAGAAAAGTAATGTTGAAAGAAAAAACAGTAAAAAAGCACAAAAAAATCAATCTGTAAAAGACGATTTAGATATTGATTCTAACAATGAAAGTCAAGTTAATACTGATGATGAAAATGTGTATGATATTGATGTTCAGGCATGGAGTATGTTAGGTGTACCTGCTGTTATAATAAAAGCATTAAAAGATCAACAATTTCACTCGCCTACGACCATACAATCATTAACATTACCGTCAGCAATATTAGGTCGCAGAGATATATTAGGTGCTGCTGAAACAGGCAGTGGTAAGACATTAGCCTTTGGAATTCCAATTATAAATGGTATTTTGGAATCAAAACAGTCTAATAAATCAGATGTAGAATCTGTAGAAGATACGTACATCAATAATAAAAACAAAGGTTGGATCTGTTCAGAAAACAAGACTGTAGAAAGTGATAATTCATCTGAATCTGATTATGAAGATGTTGATGATACCAATGAAAATATTGGCTGTGTACGTGTTATCAATAATATAGAAATGAATAAACCACAGAATTATACACAAAAGCCATTATATGCATTAATCTTGACACCAACTCGTGAATTATCTATTCAAATAAAAGATCATCTCACTAAAGCAGCAAAATATACTGATATTAAGGTCAGTATTGTGCGATGTAAAACAAAAAGTTGAAATAGAATGGTTGCTAAAACATTTATATTATTTAGATAGCAGTAGTGTTAGGTGGAATGGCTGCAGTTAAACAAGAAAGAATATTGAGCAAAGGTCCTGAAATTGTGATTGCTACACCTGGTAGATTATGGGAATTAATACAGCAAGGCAATCCACATCTTAATCAGGTGGATTCAATTAAGTGAGTTCTATTAAACAATTTTTTTATACGCTTGAATTTAAAGTTGAAGCATATGATACACTTCATATGAAACAGATTTTCCTAAATTTAATAAATAATGAGCAATATAAAGTACATATATTGTAAATTATATTAGGTATTTGGCTATTGATGAGACTGATAGAATGTTGGAGAAAGGACATTTCCAAGAATTGCAACAGCTACTAGAAAAAATTAATATGAATAAAAATATGTTAAAAAAACGACAGACATTTGTGTTTTCTGCTACATTAACCATGGTGCATGACATTCCAGAGTATTTGCAAAGAAAAAAAAAGAAATGTCATAAGAGTAAGATATCCAAGCTTACAGCTAGTCAGAAGTTACAAAAAATTGTAGAATTAGTAGGAATAAAACATCCAAAAATTGTTGACATTACTAAAGAATCAGGTTGTGTATTGTTACATTAAATAATCATATGATTAATGTAACAACTTAAAAAAAATGAAAATGTCTTTCTCTTAGGTACTGCCAGTAATTTAACAGAATGTAGAATAGTGTGTACAATAGATCACAAAGATTATTATCTTTACTATTTTCTGAAAAGACATGCTGGTAGGACATTGGTATTCTGTAATAGTATTGGCTGTGTAAAACGTTTAGCTACTCTTTTTGGAATACTCGAATGCAGACCATTACCTTTGCACGCTAGCATGCAGCAAAGACAACGATTGAAGAATCTTGAAAGGTAAATATTTCTTATTAAACAAAATTCTCAGTTAATAGTAAACGATTGTAGATTCCAGGCAGACGAAGATGGGCTACTAATAGCTACAGATGTAGCTGCAAGAGGTTTGGACATTCCAAATGTTGAGCATGTAATACATTATCAAGTTCCCAGAACCAGTGAAGTAGGCATAGATAAGTTTAAATAATTTTTAGTATATGTCTTTTTCAGTCTTTTATGTCTAATTATTTCTTAGAGTTATGTACACAGAAGTGGAAGGACTGCACGAGCACAGAAAGAAGGAATAACAGTTCTTATGATGGAACCATCTGAAAAACAGAACTATACCAAATTGTGTAAAACACTTGATCGCAGTAAGTTGATGAATTCGATAATAATGCTAATTGACAAATCAGAAGGGAATATTAATTCACAATTATTCTAATTTCAGCTGATGACATACCTATATTTCCAGTAGTAGATAGATTGCTAATCGCGGTCAAGGAAAGAGTTGATATTGCTCGAGACATTGATAAATTGGAATTAAAATGTCGTAGAGATAATTCGCAGAAGGGTTGGTTACGTAAAGCAGTCGAGGATATGGATTTGGTTTTAGAAGAAGACGAAGAGTGAGATTCCACAAACTTATGGTTATCAGCATTTACTACTGTCTTTTTTGATAATAAAAATAATTTTATATTCCAGAGAATTAGAATTAGAAACGAAAGAAACTGCAGATTTGAAACATCAATTAAAAGTAAAAAAGCGTCAGTTGGAGTCTCTTATATCAAAACCACTATTCCCAAAAGGGTTTTCAGGAAAATATCCTGACGTTAATATCGAATTTGGGTTAAGCGAAGAAAACCAGAAAGCTGTTGATGTTATGAAAAAAGTTATTGAAGATATTCCCAAGAAACGGAAGGAAAAAAGTAAAACATCTATAAATAAGAAAGATTTCCTTAAAAACAAAACCTCAAAAAAGTCTAAAAAGTCTAAAAAGTCTAAAAAGAGGTTATAATGCGGATTTCTTCAACAGAGGAAAATAAACATGATAAATAAATTTTTATATATTTATTTTATTGTCTACATTCTGTTTCCTGTGTAATCATTAATCATTTTTCTATCAAGTTAGCTGGAACGAATTTTCTAAAACATTTTTAGCTTTCCAAAAATATTACATCAATTCTGTCATTTCGAAGAAGAAACTCGAGTCTTTCACTCTTAAAAATCTACTAAATTTTATTGCGATCATTAGTACGTATGGCAGAGGTATGTACATGCAATTATTATGGTTTCTACAATATTAAATGTAATTTTATAGTGTTCTTTATATAATATAATACAGATTCAATTCCTAACTGCGCGCCAATAAAAACAGATTTTCAATCATGAAACACAGCCGGTTAACTTTATAATCAGGGATGGGCACTGATGGGCACGTTCAAATGGTTGACGAACGTTTTTCTCGAACTTGTATACTTTAAAAATCGTATACAAATTTTGACGAAATGTACAAAGTGAATTACTCACCTAACTTCTATTTTTACGTATTCGACCGGGAAGCAGCAGTTTTTAAGTAGATTTCGCCCATCCCCGCTTATAATTATAAAGTTCTTCATACTTAAAATATCGTATTATAGATAACCTCATCTTCCGTACTGATTATCGAATCGATCCGCTCGTTCGTTACTATCGAGTTCGCGTATCGATCGTTGCCGATCTTTCCCGAAAGTTCCATGGGCGAATCGCGCCCTTTCACGACGATTTTGATCCTGGCCATCACGTGGCTTCCGGGACACTTCTGCGCAACCGCGGTCTCGCAAATCTCCGCGTAAATGTCGTCAGCTTTGGTCCTGGTTAGTTTAGGGAGGGATGGCACTGGCGTTAGACTATCTCTGACACGAGAATAATTCGGTTGCAGCTCGATGTTCGTCGGCATCTCCAAAACGCTCGTAGAGACCGATCTTTGTACAGGTTGCTTGGAGGAATTGGAATGACTCGGATGAGAGGTAGTATCTGGCTCAAGACTGGAGTAACGTTCCTGACACCTTATCGCGATTTCCGGTTTCACGGCGAACGTAAACGACGCCGATTTCTTCGCCGGATTCCTACTACGACCACCCTGAGTGAACTTTGAGATCCGTTCCAGAAATCCGTTCCGAGAGTTTTGCCTGGTCTGACTCTTCTCCCTGACAGTGGTCTTCTTCAATTGCTCCAATCCGTCCTTCAAGCTTTGCAGGATGGGTTTCGTTTCCGTTTTCGGTTTGATCTTCTTCAAATGCATCTCCTTGAGATTTTCCCCGACTGGGTGGAGCTTCAAAGGCGCCACTCTCGGTTCCGTTGCACGATCCCCGACGGCTCGGCTGAAGTGGAAGAACAGGTTAAGCCACGTAGATTGTATATTTTCAAATGTTTTGCATCTTTCGAATATCACGGTAATACGGGACAGAGTACGGTATATTATCGTACATCGGCGTGTAACGTGCTTTCTGTTCTATCGATTGCGCGCACGTATGCATGAAATCGATATTCCTTTGATTTATCGGCTCTTAAACGGTTTATACCTGGAAGCGTGCGTTCGAATAACTACAAATAGAGTATAGAAATAGTTTAGTACTCTAATACCAGATATGTAGGAATATAATGTTACAAAAGTGTACTTTAGTGAATATGTTGTGAATTATTAGGTGAACCGGAAAATAATGTCGTTTTTGTAATTTTAAATGTTTGTTTATCATTCATCAGTTCATTGATTTTGATCGATCTGGCACTGACAATTTGCACGCTAGATGGCAAAAGGCTAGATGGCAAAAAATAGAAATTTATAAAAAATTTGTTTGAATTTAATGTAAAAGAAACGATATTAGTTTCCAGTCCACTTAATTTTATTTCGAGTAACGATAGTGTTAATCGTTATTTATTACAAAAGTGATTTTTGATTCTATTCTGATTTGTATTATACGCGCATATAATTTCTAACTTTATGTTTATCCGAAGAGGGCGACACGTTCCATAGCGGAAACGTCGTTTGAATAAAAACGTTAAACGTGATAATTATGTGTATATACATATAAATAGTGGAATTACGAGATTTACCTGCAGGCAGATAATAATCGTTGCATTTTTGGCGATGCCAGCAACCTAACTTCCGATGGGTAACCTAATCGCGCTCTTCTCACTCTTGGGGCGCCACTTCCGGTCACCACGAGCTCCAGCATTTCCGGATTGTGAACTGGCCTTTCCGGTACGATGCACCCTAAAACGATTGGTCCACGTGTTGAACTTTCCAGTTGCATCAAACCACCGTATTCTCTTGGCAAGGGTACAGGAAGCGGACCAGCTATTAAACGAACCTGAAAAGCGAGGATATTAAAATATTTACGTGATAAGCCAACGTCGATGAGTCCCAATTACGGTAAGATTGCTTCTCGAGGTCTCTGCATTGGAATATTTCAACGTTCCTGTGATTCAAATATTCGGCAAATACAATTTGAATGAAATAAAATGCTTGTCGAATCGGATAGTATTTTAATATTTTACCACTTTAATACTACTCGAATAACTAATTGTTTGCATAATATTGGGTATTAACGATGCGTATTTATTACAGAAGTAAGAAAACAAGGTAAGAAAAAAAATACTCACCCTTAGAGGTAACTGTCTTTTCGCAAGATGATGAACCTTGTACAGCACTTCGTCGCTTTCGGTGTCGATGCTTCCGTTCTGACAAATGGCGTAAAATTCGCCTCTCGCTGACAATGGCGCAAACACCTCGCGACCATGGGGATCCAAGCATTGCGCGTACTGATCCTTTTCGGATGAGCTACCGGAAATCCCAAAGGATACCGTACTGCACTTCCTCGTGTCCTGGAAGACGGCTATCAATCGTAGAATCTCCCCAGCCCTTATCGTAGTCTTCGTGTAGTGAGCTCGTAGATTGCCATTTTCTGCGAACAGGTAACAGACATTCTAATACAACGAACAAATTAATTCGAGGATTGAAAGAGATAAATATAGCGAAGGTGGAAACAAAATTTGTTTTCTTTTTTATCGACATATAGTCGAAATAAAAATTACTCATAGATGGCGCCATATACAAATAAAAATTATTCATAGATGGCGCCACTGTAACTAATCACGTGGTTTCCTTACAAATATCAAGAAATATTGATTCGATCTACATAGTTAATGATCCCTGCCTACGTTGTATGATTTCTCATTAGATTTATATCTGGTGATATATATTCCGTAGAAGTAGGCTGCTATATTCCAATTAGTGTTAATAGTTCCAGTTTCAAAACAGAAATTGAAACTTAAATACCGATTTTTTTACGTCATTTTATCACCGCATAATGAATTTTCGCCGCTGTACAATCCATTTACCACATTTAACATTCTGCTTCCGCTACAAACATATAATTTGCGTGTTTCTCATAATATTTCTCTTTTTATCGGGGCTAGAGTATACACGCTGTGTTTATATATGCATTTGGGTCAAGAACGTTGCTCTTGGTCATTATTTATTATTCTTTCCTTTTACTCACTACTTCATGTGCCTTCTCTTGCTCTCTTGCCTACTTTATTTTTTTGTTTCCGCTATAGTCTCATTTTCAACGTTCTTGTCTTCAGATACTTTTCCTTCATTTTTGTTATACTTTTGTCATACTTTGTTCTTTATTACTACTCATTGTTATATTTAGTTATCCATTGCTCTTTCTTCTTCTATTTTTTTTTTTTTTTTTTTTTTTTTTATGAAATACATTCTTAATAACTCATATTCCATTGAATGTCACCATTTTCCGCTCGTTTTGATGTATTCTACAGCCTCCCATTTTGCTGCCTCGCGTCGTACTTATCTCCTCTTACCCTTTTCTACACTCTCTTATTGTCTTCTGCTTCTCCCCTTTCGTATTCCCTCTCTCTTTCTTTCTCTCGTCAATCTCGATCGGATTTTTTCACCGGCTGACCCGTGCTCTTAATTAAGGCCCCAGAGGGACACGGAGTCGACCGGTAGAAAGGCCGATGGTGCAAGAAGTTAATTCACAGATCGCTCGGCTAACGAGGCCCCTGCATAGCCGTGCGTATGTCGCAACGACGTTCGGTTCTAAGTCCGCCATTCGTCTTCGCGATATTGTCACTTACCCATTTTCGAGTGCGTCAAAATGTACGCCCTCAGTGGCGCCGCCAATAGGAACGCGGGGACTCCTGCTCGCACTAGGGAATCCACTCTTCTGTAGACGCGCGCGCCACCCGTTGTATTGGTGCCAGATATCACAGAAAACCATCCTGAAACCAGAGGAAATGGAAACTCAGCTTTTCAGAGCTTACGTATATAGAGCGATTCAAGAATTACAGGCACAAACTGCGAGGGCTGCGATTGAGGTTGTCGAAAGAAAAGGAAAAGTCTTTTTGGACGAAAGCGAGCTCGGTTTGTAGAAGCGTGGTAGTTTATGTGTATGGTTTGGTACTTGGACTATTTTTTTTTTTTTTTGTTAAAACTTATCAAATCCTGTAGTTTTTAACCTGAAAAGTCCGAAAATGCAAGTTAAAAGTTTGGGGAACCAACGGTTTAAAAGATATGGGTACATGAAGATGTGTATCTTTGGCGTACTTTGATAGGTTAGTACGACGCCATATTGCCTTCACCTCTGAATACAGAATATTAATGTGATTACAACATATATATTAAAGGTTATGTAAAGATATATAAACAGGGGGCGGTGAAGCCCTGGCGCCGCAAGCGCCACCTACATGACGGGACGATTTGATACTAACATTACGTTTGAACAAAGTTCACGTCACGTGTCGTAAGAGTTCATGCTTCCGGTTATAATCTTTAAATGGAATGCTCCTCGCGGGAGCATTAGGCGTACAGGAATAATGCTTTCTACGATTGAATGCAAATTTCACTTCTCAATTACTTGGGGAATAATGATATTCAGACACTGCAACGAGGGTTTATGGTCGTTGCTGGTACGCTAAGAAAATTTATAATAAAGGAAGTGACATTTAAGTTTCAGCATTGTTGAATCATTCGCTGGTATTATACAAAGAATATTGATTCCGGTTGATGTTTGACGTTCGAGGGGCAGGAACTTTTAAAGTGTTCGCAATGAAAATGTTTATTTGCATTCGTTAGGTACGATGCACAAGGGAAGAGGGGAAAAATAAGAAGTGTGCGATAAAAGCTTCATTCGAGATTTATGAAGATTATGCTAATGGGATGTAACGATCATGCCTTAGTTGCTGGATGAATTACGAGTAATTTTGAGTGTGAAGAAGATGTTACAAGATTAAGTAATATCACAAGCTATAACATCTGGTAGCGTATTTGTTACACGATACTTGTGTGTAGATACTTGTGTATAGATTATACTAAAGAAGTAACGTTCAATAATAAATTTAATATCGTTCAATCAATACATAATAATTTAATTGCACCTTGAACCACTCCAAACTCTTAACGCAACATTGACATTCCATAGAAATCCGTGTGACTCATCACGTTGGTTATTCACGTTAATATCATTCATATTCCTCGAATGATTTCACGTTCTTTGTCATGCAATCGATGGCCTAATTCCGTGCACCTACGTCGCACCGTTCCAGGAACCCCATCAAGCGTGTGGCGGAAAGGTCCCTATATTGGACCGCAGCACTATAGGTTAGTTAGCTAGTAAGTTTTTGTTACTTAGTTGGTAAGTTTAATTTTAAGTGGCGTCCCCTCTCCTTTTTTGTAACGGACAAAAGAGATTGCTTCTCTGGTGTTCAAAAGGAACGCGTCTGAACGTGTCGGATAGAGAATAAGGTGTAATCTTTCAAAATCGATAATTCGTGGCTCTCTATTTCTTGCGGTAGACACCTAAGCTCTCTCCACAAGCGTTGTAGCGTCGCGCTACCTAGGGGCGTACCGTGTAGAAGAAGAGGTACGAAGTGTGCCATTGGCCATGCCATGAATCAGTGTCACCAGTTGCACCTTAAATGGGATGCAAGTTAAAACGTAAATTTCTTTAAAAAATGCGCTATCATTACTGCGCCGGTCTCGTTAATTTATAGCCGCACCTCGTACGCGAGTACAAAATGATGATTCACAAAAAAAAAAGAAAGAAAAAAGAACAAGAGTCGTAACTCAAAGACAAGGTCGAACGAGTCATACGCTCGCACTGTTTCGACTCTTTTTCTCGGCGCGTTGAATCCATTTACCAGTCCCCCCACCGACAATGAAACGTCCTGTACACCGGATGATCCGGAGTATAAATCAGCTCGAACATTTTCAGATATCGCCCCGAACGAAACAGATTTACGTTCGGGGTTCGGCGCGCATAAAAAGAACCACGCTCGTATCAGCCCGTCATCCGGCGCGAGTACTCAATTACCCTGCCTTTTACAAAGTCGTCCGTGGACAGCATAAGTTACGGGACACTAAACAAAATACCATGCAGCTTACCGTTTCGTGACGTTAACGGGCTTTGTTTCGCAGTATATTATGCGCAAGTAATTCGCGCGGTATATATCGTTCGAACGAAACGCAACCGGGGACGGGGAGGAGGGCGCTGAATTATATTACACCCTCTTGCGCATGCGCGCTCGTTGGGTACGCGAACGCGAGGACTATGGGGGTCCCCCGTCTGGAGGCCTGTGTGCGACGGAGTAACGAGAAACGTGAGAAGAAATATAACGAGATGCTTTTAAATTATAGTTAAACGCGTCGGCGAATGCGGTGTGTGGCCTCGTATCGGCCGCTAACCGATACGCGTTATGCATATAAAATTACCTCGCGTTGTTATTATAGCCAGCCACGAGTTACTGTCGCGATTCGGGTAATTGCTATGCAGTTTAAGAGGACTTAGAATCTTGCCAGGTCGTCTTTTCGTCTCTGTCGGCGTCCCGCAGGAGAAAAACGTCCGATTAACGCTTTACAGATGGTTGAAATTCTCGGTTCTTTTTCTTTTTCTGTTGTTTGTTTGAGAACCACTGGCCCACGGTATTTCCATTCGTCATCTACTATTCGAATAAAACTTTTCCCATCTCTGGTTAGCGAACGCCGCGCGATTTCCAATGAAACACGCCGGAAACCGTATGGTTTTCTTCTGGCTGTAATTGGTCGACAGGAATGCGACTGGTTGTTGCCTTTCTGTTTAATTTATTCCCGGAGACAATGGGATCGTTCTGATCTTGGAAATATAACACGTATGGTTTTCTTTCGCTAGTCTTTGGCGAAATTAATAATGTATTACTTATTAATTGCTTATAGAGAAAGGAGAACGGCATTGTACCTTGCGTTGCCACAGACTGAGGACTGACAACCTGATTTTTTTACACAGTGCCAGGTGCATTCAAATTATAGGGCATCGAGTTCGTTAGTTTTATGAAAAGTAGGTTTTAAATTTGAATATACTGTTCAATAGAATTGATTCTTCGCCTTACCGACTTTAACCAATACCAATATATGTTGAAACTACCCTCACTCTCTGCTCCGATGCGTCGCCTTAAGTTGGATGCATGCTTTGTTCAGTCCGTAACTTGCGATTACACATAACAGCTCCATTTCCATTTTTTAATAGTTTTCTTTAACCTTTCTTAACTCTTTCCTTTGGCCTGGCATTCCTCAATATGTACCTAATTATTAACCTATATGGATTCTATTTGCAGCACTCAGATGCCAGTCAAGTGTTCGACCAGTCCCAATCCTCCTCGAGACTGTTCGATCGACCAATTTCGTTCCACCTTCGATTTGTCCCCATCACCGATCCAATCGCCGACCACAACGATCCGCCAAAGAAAAGAAATATCAATCCACTTCCAGGTATTACCGCGGTTTGCACTATTACTCGTGTTTTGCCTCGTTTTCTCCGGCTGGCACAAGATCGAAGTTGCCGTTATGTCATTTGTAACGGGCTTCCATGCTACGTCTTCGGTTATAAGCATCGCGTTGGTAACGTTGCCACGATAGGCGTATATACTTACACATGATTTACTGGCAAACGCCAATTTTACGCTCGGCGCGTTTCGCATTTTCCATTTCGTTTTGCGTATCATAAGTAACGCGCGTAATACGCTGTTCTGTTATTCCTGCTAATTTACGAACTCCTCCGAGAGTAATGCACTCCCCAGATGCGCGGGCAATTATGGTAACCGTGCGGCGATCGGACGTGGAAAATAAAATAACGACGTTCTAAGCGTTGCGCGCCGATCTGCGTTGTTCTGTGTCACGTTTGATACCATTCTCTGCCAGCTGCTGTCCTTCGGTTCAGTTAGAAATATCTTCTTAACTGAAAGAGTTGAGAATCACTGCTTTGATGTTTACGTGCTCAAAAATGTATGTTGATTTAGCCACAATCATATTGCACCTTGTTGAAAAAAGCAGTGACATCTACTGACCGTTGACTGAGTCTATGATTTAACACACTAGAGTGCGCTGGTGTGCTGCGCGACACTAGAATTATTAAGATAGTATCTATTAGTTCTTGTTCTTTTAAGAAAGTTGTTTTCGCTTTTTGAATTTTATTCTATTTGTTGAGCTTTAGCGAGGAAATGAAGATAAAACGTGCGCAGTTACTTAGGTTTCGTTGAAAATAATATAAAGAAAAATATATTCTGCTTGTAATTAATTTGATACACTGAAATTGCACTCGGTGTCTGCAATTACTATGCTCGATGTTCTTTGATATGAAATAGGTTCTCAAACCACGTTTTACAGTTTTTACTCTTAACCAACAATACACGTTCCTTCGTTCCAACATTCATACAGGGGCTGCCCCGGATACATTCACACTCGCACACATTCTTTTGTTTCAGTGTTGCCACCTTTGCTAATAGAAGCAACACCAACCTCTGAAATTATTTCTCCAACACTATTGGATCTATTGGGTACGTTGCTCCGAGCAATCGTATTTTTTGTCAGTCATTTATATTAAAGTAATTATAAACTCTTTATAACCTGATACTATTTCTCCCTGCCTATAAGGGAACAACATTCATTTACATATCGCGAGAGCGTTACTGTGCATATCTAACAGTGATGGGCAAAACCCTAGGGTTCGAATAAATCTGAAGTTTGCCGATCTGTCTATCTCTTTTCCTATTTTGAAAATTTTCTAAAGAAGGAAACGAGACAAACACTAGAGTTTGCTCATCTCTGATGTCTAATAGTTATCCCGTGATCTAGATGGCGCAATCTATACCCTTCCTAACCTAAAACGATCTTCCAAGTTGGGAACCACTAGATGATTCCGCATCGGATTCACCCAGACCGAGGATTAATGTTCCCCGGTGTTCACGAACACAAACTTGTCATCCACGACAATTTAAGCAAACGTTCGACCGATAGTCTTGGATCTCCGAAGTTCGAAACCGAAATGAATGTTGTTCCCGAAACCGATCCCCATCCCATGTCCCCCCAGCGTCCCCTTATTCGGGATTGCCGTGGACCGTGGCGTTCGGTGTCCCGTGGAAAAACGTTGGTCTAGAGATTTTAAATAAACCGGGCCCTCGCGTTCCACCGTGTTCGCGGTTGGTGGTCTTCCGTAGAAGGACAAAGGATGTAGCCATTTAGTAGGAAGGAAATACACGGCGGCGTGTTTCGGTTCGGTTGCAAAAAGCGTTCCAAAGTTCGAGACGATAGGAGGCGCGCGCCCCGCGGCGGTAATACCAGCGAGCCGAGGCAACGGGGACACGGTAGCCGAGTGGTTGGCTGACCGAAGGTCGGCTGGTTCTTTTGGTTGTCGCTAATTGATTTAAGAATGCCGCCCCGATGCGAATGCACGCACGCTGCGTCTCGAATCCTGCCTCTTAGCGCTCGCGCGCGCCGATCGTTCGTCCTGGAATGCTCACGGGCTCCCACAGACGATCCTAGCCGCGGGGAGACCTAAATCTTCGCTCGAGCTCCGGCTGCCCATCCCACACCATACCCGCTCTGGCTGCGGTCGCGGCAGAATTTGTTTTTGATACGACTGCGCGAACACGGAGAACGCATTTGGACAACGGAATCCTTTTTGGAGTTTCGAGCTGCGACACGTAGGTGAGGTAGGGGCTTTAGGGAGAGTCGGAGTAGACCTGTGGGCACTGGTGATCCTTCTTCTTCTTCTTGTGCGTTTGGAAGCTTGAATATTTGTAGGATAGTCTTAGTGTTAGATAGGATAGTTTTAGTGTTCGAATATTTCACTGTTACTTTGGGCACTGATTGATTATTTGAATATTTTTGGAGTAATGTTGTAGGCGAAAAATACTAGGGATTTAATTTTTTACATTTTTCATGAGAGCAGAGATGGGCAAAACTTTAGGCTTCGAATAAACCTGAAGTTTGCCGATGTGTTTGTCTCGTTTCTTTCTTTGATAAATGTTCAAAAGAGGAAACGAGACAAACTTTAGATTTGTTCGAAGACTAGGGTTTTCCCCATCTCTGGGTTTGATGAGGTAGGGGCTTCATAGCGATTCGAAGTAGACCTGTTGGTTCTGACTACCCTTCGTCTTCTTCTTGTGTGCTTGGAAGTTCGAGTATTTGTTGGATAGTCATAGTTTCAGTATTTTGGGCACTGATTAATTATTTACATATTTTTGGTGTAATGTTATAGGCGAAAAATACTAGGGACTTCATTTTTTACATTTTTCACGAGTAAGGCGTGTGTGAAGAATGATCTTGATTGAGAACCACTCCTCCTCCATTTCAGGGACCAACTAATGCACATACTAACGATTATATTATTCGCGGAGAATAAGTATTCAACTGGATCATACGTTATGCTGATTTACTGCGTATTGTTCATAACAAACGGCTGATTTCGGAATTTGATAAATTATTATTGCGTACTCTAGAATGTTCCAGATGCAGGAAACGAGTCGGTATTCAATTGCGTCTAATGCAGGAACTCCCAGATACGCCCTTATTAAAGTGTGTATCCAATTTAAAAAGCATCATAGAAAGGATTGAAAATGTTTAATTTTGTGTCTAAGACCAAGTGGCACATGCATTAATGATTAAGATACAAAATAATCTGAGTGACATCATTATATTATCCTACATCTAACACTACACATCACTGTTTAAGTAGAAAATTGATAAACATACATTTTTTAAAACTGAAAGTAGGATTCTAGATGGATAAACGATAAATGACGCGTTATACAGGGTGTTTGGACTCATTTCCATCGCGAGAACATTGCCAATTCGTTGGCGATAGTTTCACGTAGAATTATTCCAATTATTATTATATACTTACAAAATTCAATTTTATTAGGTATAATTCTATGAAAATCATTAGCTGTAAATAGCAGTGTATATCTACCAATCTCGTACGGAGTTGTATAAATTCGAAAAATCCTAATTCCAAGGTAAATTAAATGCGATTCCTCGTATACCAGCTTGTACACTGTACGCAGGATACTCCAGGGAGCGTGTATTCCGGAAAAGAAACTTTGCAATCGCGTACTCCTTGTAATCAACAAAGAATTACACAAGAGGGCTTCCTCCACTTTCCATTTCCACGCGCGTATCCGACATAGTTAACGTGACTTGTTCGGCGGGTTCAGATAGCGATCGAAGAGATTGTCGTATCCGTTGGAAAAATTGCTGGAAAAGTCGCGTTAAACGCGGGGAAAATGCGCGAGTCCCGATAACAGTTTCGTGGGTCAGCTTCCTCCTCGTTTAATTAAGATGCGCCATTGCGAAATTACTCTATTAATTACCAAGTTACATGGCGTTTTGATTCATTATTCAAATAATAATGCGTTGTCTGAGAAAGTGCCAGGCCGCGCTACGTCAAAGTCATTGTCAGAGCTCACAATGTACTCTACGCACATTTTTTTAACCGCAGCGAAAACATCCGGAACGCGTTTCAATCTACATTGTTGGAAAACTCTTAAATTACCCAGCGTGTTTGTTGATTACTCGGATATTAATTAATTTCGTTCCTCCGCTTTGAAGTCGGGGCTTGGTAACGACCTCTCGGAGACTTTGCTTTTCCTGGTGTACGTTAGTTACTTGCAAATATGTAGAGAAATGTTTCAAACAAATCTTAGAGAGTGTCGAATTCTACACAAAGAGAGATCGATGAACATTTCATCCATCTTCCCTCATAAAGGAATAATTAAATAAAGTTTGAGTTCTTTCCCATTTTCAGATATGTCGAAATGTTTTGCAATCGAATCGTCTTTCTTGCTCTTTCTTTTTATAAAAATAAAAATGGTGGTAAATTCCATCGACTCGGTGAGTCTATCGCGGCCCAATTTCTAGTAATCGGAAACAACGCGCTCGCGGTCCGCGCGTGCGCGTGCACAGATGCGTTACGAAATGCATTCACGTCAGCCGTACCACGTGTCCGGGCTCAACATTCAGGGCACAGGCGGCGAATAAAGCCGTGTCGCGCGATTGTTCCGTCTAGAAACTGTAAATGGTCTCGTGGATCACGGGAGGAACTGTGCTTAAGGTTGTTTACCCCTCGTGGAACCAGATGTTCGCTTGATCCAGGTGCGCTCGGGAGACCCACGTCACATTGTAACGCTCTTCAGGAATTAATTCTGATTCAGATTTTTCTCCGCCTCGTGAAAGGAGCCCTCCCTTTTCAATGAAACGGACAATGGCCCCCGCAACTCCAGATGTTATCTTCCCTTTGGGGTACGGGTCTTTTAAACGTCTCTCTGCCTACACCCGCAGCGAATGCTTTCATGCCGGCTTCGTGTAGGTTTTTAGCGCTACCGTATTCCGGTTTTCGACGATACTTTACGAAACACTTTTTGCTTGTTTGAGCGACGCTTGTCTGCGGTTAGATTAGTCTGGTGCCAACTGCGTATGTGCAAGCAAGCTTAACTCTACATTTTTTTTCTGCAGACAACTTCCAAGGCATTCAATTTGATATTTCAGGATGATTATGTTGCAAACCGTTTTCGATACTGTTATCGGTTATCAGAGACATTGTGTATAATTAACCCTATGTCCTAATTGACAGTCGTGCAGCGACAAAATCGCTCGTAGCGAGACTTGGCAGGAGTGGGAGCAGGCTCACGTGGCCGAGTAGGTTCTATTCGCGCTAACTTCTCAAGATGCCAAGCGATAGAATAAGGATAGAAGAAGGAAAGAAGGGAAGAAAGAAAGACACTTTATCCTTATTCAATCGATTGATGAACTGCATTAAATCTAATCGACAAAAGCATCTTGAAAAGTTAGCGCGAATAGAACCTACACAGCAACGTCAGCCTGCCCCCACTCTTGCCGCGGCTCAGCTACGTGCGATTTTGTCGCACAAGAATGCATTTGACTGGTCCGGGATAGGTTCAGTGTTAATACATAAAATTTTGTTGCATTATTTTGTGGCATTATAGTTCTCTGAAACCAAGCAACCCCTACAAGAACAATAGTTCAAACAGGGAATGGTAGTATGGGAGCGCAACACGTTATGGCTGCGTTAATCATCATAAAATGGCGACAAGAAAAAATAAAAACACGAAAACCACGGGTTAGTGGCAGTGTTTCGTAATGGTTTGGAGGTTAGTTCCATAGACTCTATCGGTTTGCGAAAATTAGACAGTCCACCGCAGCTGGACAGATCGAAACCGGACCAGCTCCTTTATTGTCGTCCATTCTGCCGCTCGGCGGCGTCCGTGGATGGGCATGCCCAGAACGTAATGACCGTTATTTAAAAACCAAGGGTGAGCAGTCATCGCCGTGGGCTCGTCTGGCGAAATATTCCTGCGGTGTGTCGAGTGTCTAGCATGTCCACGAGCAAATAACGATACGTCGGGTGTAGTTTGTCTGGCCAAGTTTCCTCGAGGAGTTTTCAATTCACGTGGTCATCAGTTGAAACGATCTTCGTGATCCCTTGCTCTAAGGCCACGATCGTTGGAAGCATGAAATTTGTTGTTCAACGGCTACTTACTCTCCATAATTACAGTGCATCATCTTTGTATCGGGAAGTCTTTAGTGCGCCTATGTGATCTACATGGTGTGAATAAATCGTGGACACAGGGGTCGATAGAATTCTTTGTAAAGCGAGATACTCGATTCATAAAACAGATCGTTTCGTTGGTAATGTGGAATACGCTGTTGGTAATTCATTAATTAATTAGGGTTCTACGTTACCGAGTCTCGGCATACTTCGCATAGTTGATCTGTAAAACAGATCGTATTGTAGGTAATGTGGAATACACTGTTGGTAACTTTTTTAATTAGTCAAGGTTCTACATTATCGAGTCTCGGCATACTTCCCATACCTGATCTATAAAACAGATGGTTTCGTTGGTAATGTGGAATACGCTGTTGGTAATTCATTAATTAATTAGGGTTCTACGTTACCGAGTCTCGGCAACTTCGCATACTTGATCTACAAAACAGATCGTTTTGTTGGTAATGTGGAATACACTGTTGGTAACTTTTTAATTAGTCAGGATTCTACATTACCGAGTCTCAGTATGCTTCGCATACTTTACCTATAAAACAGATTGTTTTGTTGGTAATGTGTACTACACTGTTGGTAATTTTTTAATTAGTTAGGGCTCTATCTTACCAAGCCTTGGCAAAAAATTGCACTATGTTATCGATATTGCACTCCGCTTTATAGATTTTACGATTCACTAAAAATGAAAGTATGAGATGAAGAAGAAACTGATAATTACGTTTGTTATTTATCGTTGTTGGGTAAAGGATTACTATTACATAGTAAATGACGTTTTTAAGATGTGGCAAGGGGCTGATGGGAAAATAGCAACGGAATCTTAAACGCAACAGTGAACGCTGCAGCGAGATACAGGAAGGTATGATTGATTCGTATGACTAGAATGCAAGAGAAAAGCGAAATGTAAGAGAATAAGAGGAGGCGGGATGTCGACGCAATGTATAACCAACATGACAGGAACTATCCGTCTCTGTAACTTTTCATACGTTCATTATCTTAATCTCTTCAGGGACGAATTATTTCGTTCGGAATAAGCAAAAATTGAAATTAAATTTCTGCGTTATATCACGGAGAAATTCAATTAGGAATATTTGTTCACGATTTCAATAACGATCTCTACGATAAAATATTATCTGGCCAAGAAGTTCGTTTGGATTTTAACGCACAAATGAACAGCAATCTTTTTTAAACAAGGAACTCTATACCATATATATCACTTTATAACATATTGTCCATTTTGTTTTATCTGTACTGTAGAGAAACTATCGCTATAAACAGAACAGAATTTTTTGAACTTTACTTTGGGCATCCAAATTTATTGACTTTGTTAAAACCATTTAGTAGTTTTTGATGCCTGGAATTCATAAATCTAAGGTTAGGAATCCAACGGTTTAAAAGTTATTCGTATCTAAAGTTGAGCATTTTTGGCCAATTAGACTCCAAACATACTCAGACAGTATTTTCGTAACATGTTTTACCATTTTAATGTCATTCTCTGCCTAATCGATCAACGGACCTGCCATATTGGATGAAAACCAATATGGCATCGGATTGACCAGTCAAATGCGCCCTAAGTGCTCAACTTTACATACATATAACCGTTGGATTTCTGATATTAAAACTTCCATTTTTGTGATCCAGGCATTATAGGCTACTACAATTTAATGATGTGCCTTGATGAGGTTTAGAATTATTTTATTTAGCTACTCGAAACTGATGCTAGGTCTAGATATTTAGACGTAGTGATCTTCTAGGTTATGATCGGACAATCGGCGCCATTAAGGTAAAAAGCGGAAGTGGCCATTCTGGTGCCAAAATTTAAAGGTGTTTAAATCGGTATATTTCATATTTATATCTTCATTCCAATACCAAGTTTTTAATATTAAGTTTATTTATCATACTCGATCGAATAAGTTTCAAACAAAAAATGTAGAGAAAATGACTTGCAGATTGAATTTACAATGAATCGAAACCATGTATTTAGCTGTTGCTAATTGAAAAATGAAATTTCAATTCTAGATTAATCCAGGGGGTCCCAATGACCCCACCCATGTTTAAACAATTACCGCGTTGCCAGTATCGTTCCAAACGACTCATCAAAATTCAGGATATTAGTTTAAACCTTTCGGAATGAGAATATCATGGCAAAAATTTTTTATCAAATTTCTAAAATGGTGAACAAAAATCAGCAAGAAGGCAATGCGTAAAAAAAATCATAACTCTAACCAATTTTAATATACTTCCATAAAATTAATAACTCATATCAATTCTAGCTCAAAGTTGCGTTTGGGGTCATTTTGACCCCGGGTGACTGCGAAGGGTTAACCGTATCAAAGCTTTCGACGTAATAATATTATAATTTGAAACTACGCTAAAACAATCTGATTCTCTGTACAATTTCTGCAACGAACGGTGCTCCAAATCCGCTCTTATTCTCTTTCCTTTACTCTGTTTCCGGGTTTTGGCTCCAATGGCGACCAATCGGAAACGACAGTTCGTTATTCAGTTGCTACAGTTGAAAACTGTTAGAAAACAAACGGTCGACGAGTTTCTTGCCCGCGCTCGCGGGATAGTCGATAACTCCCCAAGTACGAGTTCCACAAAACTTGGCATTCTTCGTCGAACGCATTTCAACAGCGTCGCGGCGGAGGGAAAAAAATGCAACGAGCCGAAGGTCTCCTGATGAGAGGGACGGGGCCGTCGACCCCGGCGAGAGCTGGAGGTTTACACGCCTAATAAATTACTGTAAACTGGAGCCCGTAGTCGTAGCCGAGGGTTTGCACGAATAGTAGTTAAGTGAGCCGGTGATTTGTGCGATATCGTCCATCGTCGCTATCAGTCCCTGGAATCGGATGCACGGTTGAATCTTCCTCAGTAATTTTATCCCGGTTGAAGGTTCAAGTTCCCTCGACAAAGATTCCGTTCTCCCTCCTCCTTTACTACCGATTCGAACAGTAATCAGCGGTCTTTCCGTAGACCTCGAGTCGCCAGGTAGACAGCTGCTCCTCCGGTGAAATTAAAATCGACGTCCTTGCCGATCGACCGTGCGCCATTACAATTTCATAAGTCGAGGCTCCGGCGCGGTGCCCCGGGACGCTTTCATTCGCGGAGTTCCGTCCGCTTTCCTTCAGAATACATCGAAGACGTACATCTTTACATCTTTTTTCTATTTTTTTGCGCGCGACATGAACGTCTTTATTTTGTTTCAGTGGTTCGCTACGCGTCTTCTGGAAAACGTCGGCCATTGGAGCAAAAATGTGCGGAGCTTTTTGCCCCCCAGTCGTAAGTTGATTACAATGATTCATGGCGGGTAGAAGCATGCTTCTGGTGTACACTTTGTTCTGGATTGTATGCGCTTCGCGGCCTTCCTTTTTTCGCTAACTTGTCTTCCTTTTGTAGGCCACGGAACGCACGACTTTGATGAATCTTTGCGGCACTATGGGGGACGTCATAATGCTCGCGAATAGGTTCGAACGAAAATACGTGGATCAAATCGTGGAATATCTGCTAAAATATATAGAATGAATTATATTTCTTTTTATTTTCCTAAATGAGTCTCAACTTTTATGTCTTGGGAACGTTGACACTAGTTTCCGTAAAGAGTCTGCCTGGATGATAAAGTAACTTGTTTATTGAGTTTTAATTATTTTACGAGCCACGTCACTTCGCAGTTGTAACACCACATTTCAGATTCTATCGTAGTAATAAACATTCGTCGTAATCGTTATCCTGACTAGCAACCATTCCCGTACGGCATTTTAGATTTCAAATACATACGATATATATTAAAATGGAATTTTGCTAAAATTTAATGAATATTTGAAGTGGTATTGATTATTACTAATGAGAGCTCTTATCTAGATGATGTTGAAACTGACAAATTCAGTTACAGAAATAAATATACACATATAAGTGTTTCATTATGTAGTCTTTAACAAAAACAAAATGTCAAAGAAAATGAATTTAAATGTAATTCTTGAAATTAGATGGAGTTATAAAAATAAATACCACATATAAGTGTTTCATTATGTACTTTCCAATGATTTGTAAACAAAATGTAATCACAGTAGAAATTTTCAATATTCCTGTACTAAACGTGTTAATTATGCTTTCTCGACGTAAGAAACAATTCTTCTGATACTGTTCCTTTTCTTTTAGGTCTCTTCCAGCAACAATGGCGAAGAGGTCGAGCGATCAAGACCGAGTGGATCCGATGTCACGTGGGCACGCGTCCCGATTTTTATAATTCGTGGCTCATCTTGAATAGCGCGGCACTTATAGCGAATTCGTAGGCGTTAAATAATGTTTCCTTAGTCAATTTACTGTTAGTGCCTGTGTTCGATATAACCTGCGTCGGCCAGTACGGATCGCATATTTACGAGCGTGCCGTAAAGCTCGCTTAGACGCGCGCGTTGCGCTATTCGCTACAATAAATTGGAGCAGGCCAACTTGTCTCGTGCTGTAGGTTTTACGGAATGATCATCCTTATTGGCGGCGATAACGATCTTACGTCCAAATAATTTACAACGCTCGAGTTGGTGCGTGTGCGTTGAAACGATACGGAGAAGCATCTCTTCTCATTATGCACGTTCGAAAGTAAATTATATTTTCATTGTTTTGGAATTGTGTGGTACCTACGTCTCACAGAGTAGCGTAGTGTGAGTCTAGGATTATTTATATTAAGATTATAAAATTGATTACGTGATTAACTGTAAACAATTGTTACTGATAAAAAGACTGTGTAATTATAAGAATACAACTTGGATGTATTAATAATGTGTTGATTTAATTAGGAAATAAATGTTTATTAAAGAACGTGTGTTACAAAGTTACAATGTTGCATCAGCAAGGAACAGAAAGGGTAAGTAAGTACAGTAAAGACAGAACTGTAAGTCATAGGAAAAAGGAACTAAACACGTGTATCACAATTGGTACCTCTTAGCACCTATAGTCTCGTATGTTAATAAACCTATCATTAATTACAACAGTTACCAACTGATTATAATTGTACATAATACTCAATTGTAATTTGAAAGGTCAGTGTGGACTCTGCTAGAAATTTCCACGCTGCAAACAAAGATTTCCTGATGTTTTCCCCAATTTCGAAAGCTTCCTACGAAGTGCCACTCACGCCGCACATTTATCCGGCGAGTCAATTTATATTCAAGATTGGAAAGGTCAGTGCGGCCCCCACCAAGTGCCTACCATCATTCCAGTATCTGAAAACAATGATTCATTCATGGCGGGTTCGCGTAAACGGGCGATGTGGGCCGATTGACCGACGCCAATAGTAAAAGTGTTGCAAGCAACGTAACGCTTTTCCTCGATGAATCACCGATATATCCACGTAACGCACGCGAAAACAAAATTCGCAACTGGATTTTTTACGCATGACGCGAACGCTGCAACCTCCTTTCATCATGGTCGATCGAATCAACAGGTTTCTACGTTGATCTGAATGACGTTGCTCTGACGCAACTCGAGCGAGAGGCTGGCTAACCACCATGCCCACACGACTTTGAAAGATTTACATTCAATTGAGAAACGATGAGTGGATTTTACTAATTTTTCAATTTATAAATTACTGTTAGTAGGGTTAAAAGAATAGTGATTAATGTTTTGAAGGCTTTGGGAAGTAATGATAAGGAAAGGTTCAAGAAAAAATATCAATGGAATACACTGAAACTAGGGTAATAAAAGATTTTAAGTTGGTACTGATTTAGCTGAGGAATTAAAATATTATTAAACTTATTGATTACACTCAACTTTGAAACATTTACTTTCAACTATTTAATGACATTGAGGATTGAGGATTTGAGGTCTGATTTAATTAGTTGTTTAGGATGTTTCTGAAGTAATGCAACTAGGAATTTGGCAATGAAGATAAGAGGCTAATAGAATGTCCAAGCAAGGTTCAAACAGAAATAGTAACACAATACACTGAAATTAAGACAATAAAGGATTTCAAATTGACTCAGTTGCGGAATGCAATAGTCTGCAAGGACCTAGAATGCACAAAACGTGGCAAGAGTACCAATCTCATAAACTAAAGCTATAATACTGTAGGATGCATGCACATTGGGAAACATAATAGCTTCATTCCTAATTTGTTATTTATATCACACTGTTCTACTCAGAGTGATTTTCTCTAATTCTTCATATCCTTGTGAGTTGATGAAAGAAATTTTGAAACCTGTTTAATGTTGAAATTCTTGAGTGCAAACCCAGATTGCAGATTTTATACATCAATGATATAAAATTAATACAATAAACACATGGTAAATATAATTAAAAGATATACACACAGAATATTATATTAATAACAGTAGAATAGACAATAGTTATATATAATTATTATTATTTATATCACACTATTCTACTCAGGAGATCATGTTTATTCCTTCAACCCTACAAGTTCCTTGAACCACCCAGTGAAAAATGCATACTTGCAGCCATTGTAGCTTTTTTTTCAGAAATCATTGACGTCGTTTCGGAGCAGCTGCTCTGACCGACAACCTCGTCCAGCTCTTAAACTTTCTCTGCTTGACTCTTCGCCCATTCGAACTAATAGGTCCGCATTACCCCGGTTTTATCGCCTCGTAATTTCCGTTTCAGATGTCAGTAAACCAATATAAAGGGTTCGCGCGAAGATATCCCGCGGAAGAGGTCGGCCAGGGGCCAGTTTCGCAACTTATTGTTCCACAAAGTGGTTTACGATTCAAAAGGAGAGGAACGGGCCCCGATAGCGCAACAGAGTTTGTCGCCGAGGAGCATTAGCGTCCACCACGAAGCCGCGGCGTCGACTCTTTCGCGGAGTCCACTGTATAACCTGTTTCAGTGATCTAAGCTGGTTATCACAACCGTTCCCGTTTGCTTTGCCAGGCATAATTTACGTTTTTCTGAAAATCTCTACCGGATACCAGGCCCATTAAAAGCTAACCGCTGGTTGTCGCCGATTATGGTTCACTGTCAATTATAAGTAACCCTCGCTCCCTACTTCTTTTTGTCGAATCGGACAGGTTTCACATGGTTCCGATTACGTCGTGCGATTACAAAATTGGGGAAGTTCTAAAGCTAATTTTTGAGGTTAGGAAAACGTGGTTGGATCAATAAATTGTCACACCACGTGCTTCGACTTCTTGTCAAATCCTATATATTAATTAAAGGGAAAAGAAATTACAATGTCTACGAGAAATAAAAGATATAACTATGAAAGAATATGTGAGGAAATTAAAGAAATAAGTTTTATACATATTGCATGTGGGACTAGAGATGGGCAAAACCCTAGGGTTCGAATAAATCTGAAGTTTGCTGATATGTTTGTTTCGTTTCGTCTTTTGAATATTTTCCAAGGAAGGAAACGAGACAAACACATAAGCAAACTTCAGATTTATTCGAACCCTAGGGTTTTGCCCATCTCTGCGAAAAAGGAACAGAAAGTGCTTCATATTTTTTTCAGTAGATGGCAGCCTGGGGAGTCACTATGTAGCATCGTTGCGCCAACATTGTAGAGAGTTTTCTCTCTATCGTAAAAGAAGATTCTTTCGTTTTCTTTTGCTCGCTCGGATTTCCTATCTCGTGGCGACAGTAGGAGTTCGACATGGGACGAGCACGATTCGCGTGCATCCAAAGCAGTTTTCAAATATCGCACTAATCTGTAATGGCGTCTGATTTTGTACTAACACGTCTTGATCAATGTAAGCGTTTGACGTAAATGCGTATGTCGCGATAGATCAAATAAATGGCGCATATTCATCAGTAAAGATTCTTGTGGTTTGATATAACCTACAACTAATCCGTAATATAATAAGTCTTATCGCGAGATGTGACAAATTGCGAGTTGGGTGAACTGAATATTCGATATTTCGAGAGGCATTTTTGTGGCGAAGAATTTTATTAGAACGAAAGAAGTCAAACACACACTTCAGAAACAGTCAATTTAGAAATTATAAGAACAGTTAATTTCATTTAATCATGATACAAGTGCAAAGTCATAGAAAGACGGAAGTTATATAAATTCTTAGCTCGATTTTTTTTATCGAATGATCGAATATTGAATGAAAGTGCAAGTCGATTAGATAGGATTACTACTGCTATGGATTCATTTCGAATAAAATATATTCTTCCCAAGAAGATATTACGCAATATTACGATACTTCGTGGATGAGTGGTTCTTACGTCGTGCTAAACTATTTATAAGAAAAGTGCTCGGTTTCGTCGAAGACGTCTCGTAATCGAAACGGTTGTTTTATGGCTACTGCTTCAGGTTTCCAGGTTTTGTTTTACTGGATTCTTTTATGGGTACAAATCTTAAAGAGATTTTATCCCTGCAGAGTAATAAATGCTTTTATTAAGACAGGTTTGGTGACCCAAGACGTAAAACCCGTTAACCACTACTCTGCTTAGCTTTTTTCCAGTAGTCTCTCTCAAATAACGTGACGTTTTACTATATCGTTCCTTAAATATTGTTAGTTCTCTTCCCTTTTTCAATCTTTATTATTTAAGTCTTTAAGCACGGCTATACGATTATTTTTAAAATATATCTGGTGGAAGAGCTAGAGGTAAAGTAGAGTTCAAGTGTTCACAATAGAATTGTGATAGAAAAGGTTTACTCTCAATGTCCCTGTACCAAGTATTTGCGACAATAATTTTTAAGTAAAATATATCTGGTGGAAGAGCTAGAGGTCAACAGTTCAAGTGTTCATAATAAAACTCTGATAGAAAATTTAGTCTCAAGGTCGTCGTATCAAGCATTTGCGACCTTGTAACATGTCTCTGTGACCTTGTGTGATGTGTATGTGACCTTATGTGATCTCCATGTGACCTTGTATGATCTTGTGTGATCTCTATGTGACTTTGTATGATGTGTATGTGATCTTGACCGCGCATCGCCTTTAAGACATTAAAAATGACAAAACCTCCACATGCAGGACCGAACAACGAAGGACTTTCCACGGGACACTTACCAGGATACCCCTCGGGGATGACTATTTCCGGGCCCACCTTGACGTCGTGTCTGTATCGATGTATCCACAAGGTCGCAGTAACTCGAAGCGATTTCTGTTGCTGCTTGTAGAGCAACACCGGTCTGCCACTGGTGCCCTCGAGCCTAACGACCCTGGGCAAGGAGAACCGATCCAAGAACTCGCGAAGGGGCATGTAGCCGCCGCTGGAGCTGGAACTACCCTCGGCCGTCGCCTCCCTGGAACTGGGGAGGGATTTCGGCAGCGAGGGCACCTCTTCGCTGGACATCGTCGAGAACTCACCGTGCGACGACATTGTTCTGAGCACTCTTATCACGCGTTCTTCAGCCAGATCGGATGAGAGACCTTTCTTGCGACACTATCGCGCATCGTTGAACCTGGACAAAGTGAAGGACGATTTCGCTAGAGATTCGCAGCCCCACTACGGATACCTCTAGACCACCTGAGACCTCCAGACCACTTCCAGATCACTTCTAGACCACTTGCAGACCTTCAGAACTTTTTCTACCGGCACTCGTTCGATCTCACTGGAGCAAATCTCGACGTTCTGATCTCGACGTCCCCATCACGACGAAACAACCAGCCGACAATTAGCAACGCCTCGACACTTTCCTCGATTATGTCACTGAGGGGGTCCGGTCACTTTCCACTCGGCGTCGCAGAGTACGAACAATCACGACTAGCGGCGAGACAAGGCTCTCAGGATCAATCGCGATCGAAAGGATCGTGCAATCGTCTGGCGCGACCCCAGGATTCATTCACTGTACACTGACTGTTACCGCAGGCAACAGCACGCAGCGAGATCAAGGGTCCTTGCGAAACGAGCGCTCGTTCAATGCCTATTACGAATCCCTCTAGTCAGCACCGCGAAGATTCTTTTCTTGAACGCCTTGGTGTCCTTCGCTAACTGTCCACTCTCGACGTCGCACTGTTCACACCGAATGATCATCGTTTCTTCTTGCGCGACGATTCGGGGAAGGAACGACCGCTGCGTCATCCTCCCAATCAGCTGACGGGACCAGTGTCGCGATTATCGACGAGATCACCTGGATACTCGGATTATCGAAGATTTCTGCGGAAAGACGAATGGTCGATACCCCGATTTACTGGTCCAGCCAACTGTTCTTCCTCTCCACGTGAAAGAGGTGCCCCGCAGCTCGAATCCCGCGGCGTTTATGATTTAATGTAGCTCCTCGCGTAGCCCAGAGGACGTATCTCGGTTTTATCGCTCGGTATCCGAGAAGTCTTCAGACTCCTGGGTAGCTGGGTTAGGTCTGGGTTAGGTCCGCATTCTGGTAGCCCCGAGGGAATGTTGGACGTTCTCTGGACACCTGGGGCCGAGGAGGTTAACGTCTGAAAGAAGCGAGCGTGGACGATTCAAATCTCAAGGAAACTGCGGCAGCCCGCGAAGCACGTGGAACATTGTACCCGATCAGCTCCGCTCCGTTGACGCCGCTTTTCATCAGAAAATGTTCTTTTCCTTCCTGGACGATTCGATGTCGGGAGTCCAGGCAGCGAGGCGATGGTCGCTCGGAGTACTTTCGCGATGCACGGAACGCGCAGAGGCGGTCTTCAGGTTCCGAGGAAGAACCGATCGAACCGGCGGACGCGAAGTCACTGAGCTCGCAGCGTGACTGAGCGCAGCGTAAGAGGCCCGCTGACACCAACACGCTCAAAGCTTGTATCGCGCTGCCTCTACTACGGGCAGCCCTGTCTGTGACCGTACTACCAAGCATCGCTGGCGAACTTAGCCCGGAGTCCGAGCTAACAGAATACGCGCCTATGCGCCTACCGACCTACGAGAAGTGGGCTTATTCAATACAGGTTCCATTGTGTTCGGGGAGCTGTTCAGCTCCGACAGCGGCGAACCGCCCTTAATAGTTTCTCTGGAAATGTAATCGGGCGTGGTAAGCGAAGTTGCTGCGTGTACGCGTCTCCGGTTACGAGTATCAATAGTTTGACAGCGTACATGATCGCTGATACTGTTCGCTACTGGCGAATTAGCGGCTCGGAGTCCGCGCGTGTCGGCAAAGTTCTTGACTGTTTTCACGTCACACGTTGGACTGTTGATGTATATGTATAAGAATGAAGCCCTGACTGATTATAATTAATGTTCAGGATAAATCCTTGAACATAGAAAGCTGAAATTTTGCACAGAGGTATGATGTTTGTGATGTATACACAAAAATGTATACAAAGAATAAGAAAGGATATTTCGAAATTCAATCCCTATGGGGGTAAAAAGGGGTTGAAACGTTAGTATTCCATGCAGGTGAAATCGCGGGCCACAGTTGTCGGAAATATCGATTAAAACATTTGAGTTAAGGAAGACAAAAGACAGTCGCCTACTGATTCACGAAGGAACGGTCGAATGCGAACGACATGAAATAAATAGTCTTTCATAAGTTGAATACGATGTTGAACGACTATCGAGGTAGCGTTTTCTTGATTGTAATAGTCAAAATTTAAATAGTAACAAATTCTAGATAATTCTGTTTTAGTTTTCATTAAACAATACAGTTTGTGGTTGTATTAGTTATTACAGTTTGTGGTTTTATTGAATATCTCACTAAGGAACGCTAGAACAATACAAAGTGAAGAGCCGAAACGTATCGGAGATACTATAGATATCTCATTTTCGCTCGCTAAGCGCGAGCAGAAAGCGTCACCTCGTTTTCATCGGCCAGTATCTATGGGTATTACCATTTCTATGCAGACAAATTTGCTGTAATACCGACCGGTCAAATCGAAGAGGTCACGTGCCGTGCCTACCCCCTTAATCGCCATTCAAAGCGTCGATAACTCAACGCCTCGTATTTTTAACGATACAAATGCAACGCCTTGAAAAGCAGCCTCGCTAACAAATACGCGAAACAGGATCCTTATAAAAGACGGTCCAAAGTAAAACTTTACTGTGGCTGTAAAACCCGTCCCGGTGTTGTCTCTCCTTATACAGTTATCGCCGACACTAAAGGGAAATGGTACATAGCCCATTTTGCTAAACGAATATTTAATTGTATCATTTTATTCAATATCCCCGCGGCTCCTCTCCCGATCCACGCAAGAGATAATAAAAATCGCGATGGAGCCCACGATGGTTCATGGGAAGCTTGGAAAGTGGAACGACCTTGAGTTTCATTGTCGAACGAATCCGACGGAGAACAACGGACGTCCTCGTTGCATCATAGTTGGGAGTGATACGAGTTCGCACGATTCTTTCGCGACGCACGTTCCTTTTTTTTCACGAGAATCACACTCTTTTGTTCGCTGATTGCGTGTGGCGCGACTCGTAACAACCACGGAACAACCGTAGCTGTTGCCACACCGCGAAACGAGGTATGGCACCACTGTTTCGCATGTGAGTTGATTGATAGACTCGAGTGGTGACGCTTGAAGGACTGTCGTCACGTTCATCTAGAATTACAAAGTACCCGTGTACCCTACATACATGGGGTCATTAATAATTAAACTTTGAATTGTGTGCATTTATGATGTACAATTATATAGAGAGCATACATAACAGTATGTTAAATTTATACAAGAGTTAATATAATGATATTGTTATTATAACATTGCATAAGTGAACATATCTTTTGGTTATGTTTATTATATTAGTTCACATCGTAAATGCAACAAATCCGCACTGTATTAATAATGTAACATAAATATGTGTATTTGTGATTTATGTATAATTCCTATTTTTCTCCGATCCAGATGAAAATATGTTCTGCATCCTTTAGCGGAAATAGACTTCCTACTTTGCAGAAACACCATCAATAATAATTATTATAAAAATATCCAACCCATCTTTCCATACCCATCTTTCACTCGACCTTTCAAACCCATGTTCCAGGAACGAAACAATTATAATTGAACTTTGTAACTGTGCCCCACCAAAAAAGGCAGAAATCTGTTAGTATAATGACACGAAATAGGACCCCATAAATGGTAAAATTTTGGTCCAGGCAATACCAAGAATTTACGTCACAGTTCTGCATTTAATTAGAGTCTTGGTTTTTTTTCTTCCCCCGAAAGGAATAATCTTAGAATATTTCGCGCGAAGCAGAAGAGTATTCAGATGGTTGGTTCTTATAGAAAATTACGTTCGCCGGGCCGCTATCGCGATATTCGAAGCATTGAAACGGCGCTGCTAATGGGCCAGGCAAAACCAGCACAGCTCATCTTGATAAACATTTATGAGTATAAAGTCGCTGGTCTCCCGCAGCCACGCGATGCATTATAGTAGCATTTATTTGACCGTTATACTTCTTTATAGCTTGTTGGACAAGATTCCTTTGGCGTGCATAAGAAATCAGGACTATTGAGACCGTATCGTCGCTGTAGTGTCTGACGAGGAGCCACGTAGCGCGATTACAACGGAACGACCGTGATTCGAGTGACGGGACTCGATCCGCAGACAACTTCTCGGAAGATACCTCAGAGGTAAATAATTATTTACTATTTCTTCTGCCCGCACAGTTTTTACTCGCATTTCGGTGAATTAATTGTTCAAGGAGGTCAAGTTCTGGTTCCAGTAGAGCTAAATTTGACGCAGCAATGGCAAATTCAAGAAGAGGATAGGAGGCCACAAGGTGAGAGACACAGAATTAGATTCTCAGGTTGTGGAATCTCAGAAAATACTCCGGAAGTAAATAATTATTCAACCCTTTGTGGATTCATGTAATCTTCAGGTCACGTGCTAATATGTCGACATTTTGACAAATAATTTTAGTCTATTTCACAGAATCAGAGAGATTCTTGTAGAATCAGAGATTACTTTAGTGATCTTCTCTGACTTTCTCAGAGGTTCCCAGATCTCTAATTTTAGAAGACTCTATATCTATTGAAGAAGTTTGATTAAATTAAGTAACAGTGCTGATATTACCAAATGGATTTTTCATTATAAGTATGTATATATTTAGATATATAAATATATTATATTAATTATATTTCTGTGAATTACTTGTTCAAGAAAATGGCAATCGATAACCCTCCACCCAAAGTTCCTATTCTGGGAAGGCCAGATTTGGCGCGGCAGTATCTTGGAAGCGGATAGGAAGCTGGAAGGCAAGGGCAGGGACACGTGAAACGTGGGGTTTATTAATACAGTCGGTAGCTGCGTCTCGGTCCATTTAATTCTATATTTACCGCGGTCGCGTTTAGTAGGTACGGGGCGATAGGAGCTAATCTGTGGAAAGGATCAGTCAAGGCGAGCCGGAGGGTCCATCGCGATGGCAGAGCCGACGATCTTCCCACGGTGTGTTGGCTACGGAATCGTCGGAAAGAAGTGAAGACGCGGCGCGGCGCGAGCGCAGCCTTGCAAGGACAAGGGCGGCCATTTTAGATGTAAGCGCGCAAACAATTATTATTACCCGTTGGAGCCAGGGTGTGGCGGCTTCGGTGTTTCTCTGTGAAGACAAAGCTACCATAAACCGCGATGGACCGAGCGGAGAGGTGGCGGGAATCGGTGCGAGGAACGATGAAAAGTGGTATGATGATGCAGAATGCGCGATTAAGAACTTTTACGTGGCCCAAGGTCAGGGACGAGGAATCGTAATAGAGCGCAACAATTATTTCACGCGTTTGTCTCTTCAGCCGCGAGCGGTACAGGTGTACTGCGGACGGATACAAAGAATGACTCTGAGTGATGGTCACGACGTGCGAACGATTTGGTTTTTTCACGTGGAAATTGTGCCTGATTGGTGATAATGGTGTTGGGACCTTGTTTGTGTGGAGTTTGGTAGTGAAGAATATAAAGATTACTGAAGAATATGAAGATTATTGAAGCAATCTCTGCAGATTACTGAAGAATATGAAGATTACTAAAGTAATCTCTGAATATTACTGAAAAAATATGAAGATTACTTAAGTAATCTCTGAATATTACTAAAGAATATGAAGATTACTTAAGTAATCTCTGAATATTACTAAAGAATATGAAGATTACTGAAATAATCTCTGAATATTACTGGAGAATATGAAGATTACTGAAGAATAAGAAGATAACTGGAGTAATCAGTAATCAGTCTCTGAATATTATGGATGAAGATGAAGATTACTGAAGTAATCTCTGAGTATTACTGAAGTAATCTCTAAATATTACTGAAGAATATGAAGATTACTAAAGTAATCTCTGAATATTACTGAAAAATAAGAAGATGACTGAAGTAATCAATAATTAGTCTCTGAATATTACTGAAGTAATCTCTGAATATTACTACAGAATAACAAGATCACTGAAGTACTCTCGTATCCAAATTCTGATCACTGAATCTGCATTACATTTTGGAGCGTTCTCATCTGATACTTAATATAATATTGAAGACAACTTTTTTAGTTCTCAAGTCTCCCATTTTATCTACTCTATCATCTTTATTGATCTGTTGTCGAAATCTGTACTGGTTAAAATTGCGTTTCGATTATGCGAGGAAACGAGCATCCAATTGATTTGCAGAGGAGAGAGGGATGGAAGTCCAGTGACTCGGAGCAGATAAAGTCTTCATGTACCGTTACTAACGAGGTTAGCTAGAGACAGGTGTTAATATTGGCCTTCGGGTTATGATTTAATTTGCTTCAGAAGATGATCCGGTTAGGGCAATAAACTATAC